ACGTACCAAATCACTGTCAACGCAGTGGCCAAGGGTATGGTGGCTGACTATGAGAACGACGGTGAAGGGCTCAAGGAGTGGAGTCATGCTGATCTGAAGAAGTTCGAGTAGCACTTCAACTGGATGTTTATCAATTCCTTGATGTGTTGGATGGAAACTTACTTGACATGACATATTTCGTCCTCTGCTGCAGTTGAGCAGGTCTTGCAGCCTACAGCTTGCTCGTTAGTCTGGGGAAATGCTGGTTAGCTAGCTCCACCACTTCTTGCGCGCAACCCCAATGGAGTGTGTGGCCAGATCCGCCGTGAGCGTAGTTGTGGATCAGCACGGCACCACGTTTGGTTGAAGCAGCTTGCAGTTCAAGTCGCACACCTCCGGTGCGACCAGGTCTAAGCCCCGCCATTTTGGCAAGCACCTTGCTGTTGTGTACTTCCGGCCACAAACGACAGCAACGCTCCCACACACCTTCCGCATCATGGTCATCGCTTTCGGTGTTCCAGTTGTGCTGTTGCACAGTTCCACCGAGCACAACATCGCCGTTGGGACGAGGGATGATGTACGCATGTTCGCCATCCTTTGTGACGGATACTTTGAGCATGTTCAGCTTCGGGTTGTGCACGTTGATGATCTGACCGCGGATTGGAAACATTGTGTCGTCTCCAGCCAATTCCATTGCCGCCAGACCTACGATGTAGTAGACCTCCCGTTAGGGCAATGCACACTGGCTTGTCACGTACGAATCCTCCCATACCAGAGCAGTTTACCAGTAGATCGCAGTCTTCATCATCCAGAGATGTTACTCGACGCTGCTCAAACGTGCCACCCAACTGCTGAATCTCCTCATGCAGCCACATCAAGAACGGTCTACAGAGCTAGTTAGTACCCGATCAGCTCAAAACTCTGCCTACTTGACGTAGTACGTGGGGTTGTAGATGAGGGCATCAAAAGCAAAGCCGTGCAGGGCTCCAGGCGAAACCTCGGTAGCTTCTTTTTGGCTGAGTAGATGGAAGTTCTCGGCACAACGCGCCCAGTACGGATGGACCTAGCAACACATCTCTAGTCAGCAAGCACTATACCATCAACGTCCTCCTCTCACCACTTCAGGAGCGCCAACCGCAGACACTTCGACGCCTGGGACAATGTGAATCCCCAGCGTTTCACCCTTTTCCTGTCGTAGCGCCTCCAGCCACGCGTACGTCACTTCGCACCATTTCCGAGGCCTCGCGGTGTCCACTCCATCAGGCAGCGCGAACGGCATCCAGAGGCCTCCTGCCACGTGGGACGTAGTGGCCTCGAACTTCTCCGCTACGACTTTGACACGCTCAAAGCCGCTCTGCAGCAACGCTAAGGCTGTGGTGAGGCCAATCACGCCACCACCTACAATGACAACACGACAGTCTCGCGCAGATTTCATTCGGTGGTTCAAGTACTTTCGCTGCGTCTAGGCAAATGCGACCATGGAGATGGACCCATGGACGTCATCAGCAGGGGTTAACAGTACGGTAATCTATGAAATATCATTCTTCACTACTATTATTTTAATACTACAAGTATTGGAGTTCTCAGTCGCATTGCTCCATTGAGGGACGACAATCTTCAGTGGATTCTGCCACTGCAGGCCGTCTTCCCCATCGTTAAATAATTGCTTTAATCTCGTAACACACAGCTGAGTGTGGTATATAGTGTAGGCTATAGCGGCCCTAAGAGTTAAGAATTACCTTACTCTAGGAAACTAGTATGAGGAGTTACTAGCGCTCTGGGCGTCCGCTACACGGACGATGCGTGTGTGGTTGGTCATACATGTAGTTGTAAAATAATGTAATTTTTAATTAGGTAAGCAATACGCAATTAATTACAAAAAGTTATGGACGTAATTTTAGGCTATACATGATCAAAAAATTCTCTTGGACACAATATTTTTGGTGTGTACTCTACCATCCACATCAATCATCTCTGAGCCCACTGCAACCTTAATTGCCTTTTGTGAAGTGACTCTGGATATAGCAACATACAGTTAACCGTGCGCAAACACAGGTGATTCTAAGTAGATGCCAATGTGATGGCTTGACTGACCTTGTGCCTTGTTGATCGTCATTGCAAACGCTGGAACTACAGGAAACTCCTTACACTTCAAGTTGAAGGGAAACCCCTTATCGTCGTCTTCTGTGTAGAATATGATGCGAGGAATAAGCACAGTGTTTCTCTTGGCAGGCCCCGACATGACTGTAGCTTCAATACTTCTCGCGCGCAGTGAAACAACACGAAGAATAGTTTCATTGCATAGTCCTGCGTCACTGTTCAGGTTGCGTATCTTAATGATCGGGGTCCCAACTCTCAATACGATATTATGGGACGGAAATCCGGAGAAATTGAGTGAGTTTAGGAACTCGTGTTCGAACAGGTTCCTGTCTGCGCCTCCTTCTGTCGGTCGAAAGATACTCTTTTGTTTTGGTGGTGATACGTACTGCCACCATTTCGTTGATCCTTCCCACGCTTGCGTTAGTAGGCACCAGAATAGTTCGTTCATCAAAGTACTCATTGGGCAATTTATCTGCGTTAATACCTGGGTACACCGCATCAATCAAAGCGTTGACGTTGCGTGTTCGTCTGTCATCGCCCGCGTCGTCAGCCTCTGGGGGGACGTTGTCAGAATCCGGAGCGGCGTCGTGTACCATAAGCTCCAAGTCCCGAGAGTTGTGGTCGTCTATACTGGGAAGAAAGTTATAGTTTGGAAACGGTTCCGTCTCATCGTCTCATCGCTATCGCTATCACTATCAACCGCTTCGTCTCTCGGCTCATCAAGGACGGACGACGTGAATGCGGTGTTGGTGTCTCTGAGCGGGATGCCCAACACGTGGCCATATGTTGCAGTTATGGACCCCGACTCCATGCCCTCCGCTGCTCACGAAGAGTGCGATGGCCCTTCGTGTGCGGTGTGCGAGCATGCAGCTTGTGCCGGTCCTGAGCAGGGGTCTCAGGACGTGTTCAACGTGGTTGAACAGTGGTTCCCACGTTCTGATGAGCAGCGGCTCTCGGATGATAATGATGTGGTTGAGTATGATTCCCCACTCGCGGTTGAGCATGAGTTCCCGCGAGTGGTCGAGCGGGAACTCCCTCAAGAAGAGAAGGAAGAAGTGGTTGAGCGTGGCCTCCCCCAAGTGGTCGAGTGTGTGTTCCCGTGAGTGGTCGAGCGGGAGCTCCCTGTTGAAATGGCCGCACTCGTGTCGTGGGTCCCCCGTGTTCGCACCAGTGAAGTGTCCCGGTGACCAAGTTCCGCAGGCATGATCGAGCATCGTCTCGCATCGTCTGCTGCCGTGAACGACACTCCGCGCCGTCTTCGGCGCCGAAGCTGCCGCAATCCCCGACGACCTGGTGTGATTTCAAGCGACTCAGTTGGCACTGAGTCTGAGGTCATCTCGGTTCTTGTGGAATCCTCAGGCACGACGCGCGTGTGCGACATCGAGGTTGCACACCCGCCACGTGACGCAGCCGCGATCACGCAGTTGCCTGATCTCCCATGGAAACATTTCCTGAGCGACCTGAAGAAGGGCGACATCGAGCAAGTGTGTATGCTCGTGCACAAAGCCACTGTGTGTGCCGCAGCGGTCGAAGTCGACGCCGATGACCCAGCGTCCAATACCAGGACTCGACCGAAAGGGGCCGGGCCGAAGTGCGCCCGTGAGGCGCGCTACGCTGCCCAATCGTTGCCGGCAGTCGAGGCCTCCGGCAACACCATCGCTCCTCTCGTCCGGGGGTACATTGACATCTTCCCGGACAAGGTCCCAGCCGTCCTTGCCGGGTCCAGTACGAGATCGACCTTGTGCCCGGTGCCAAGTACTGTGCGACGCAGCAGCGGTCGCTTCCCCGAGATCAAGTAGAGGCAATTGATGCCTTCTTTGAGAGTCGCCGGCAAGCCGGCCACGTACGCGAAAGTCTCTCTCCACACTCCAGCCCGACCTTCTTTGTGAAGAAGGCCACCGGTGGATGGCGGATCGTTCACGCCTTCTATAAGCTGAACGATGCCACCATTCCAGCCCAAACGCTAATTCCACGGAAGGATATGGTGCTCGACACCATGTCTGGCAGCACGAGGTACAGTGTCATAGATCTGATGGACGGGTTCTATCAGATCCTCATGCGTGAAGAAGACGTGTCGTCGACCGCTGTCAGCACGCCGAGGGGGATGCTATCGGAATGGTTGGTGATGCCGCAGGTGCTTAAGAACGCCCCGGCCACTTTCGACAGAATGGTGTCAAACCTGCTATGCCCATACCGAGAGTTTGCGCCCAGCTATTTTGACGATATCTTCATCCACAGTCGTGTCGAGGACGGCATGACCGACGTCGAGGTACATCTGGATCATCTCCGCCATGTGTTCGAGGTGATGCGGGAGAACAAGCTGTACGCTAACTTGAAGAAGTGTATCATCTGTGCTCCCGAGATACCAGTTCTTGGGAGCTACGTCAGCAAGGAAGGTGTACGCGCTGATCCTGAGAAGATTGAAGCCGTCTGCGCTTGGCCCGTGCCTCAGGGCCAGAAGTAGCTCCGACAGTGGTTGGGACTCGCAACGTATCTCCATCATTACTCGAAGAACTTCGCGCTGACCATCCAACCGCTGTCTCACCTGCTGAAGGCAGGCGCCACGTGGTCGTGGTGCCCCGAGCACCAAACAGCCTTCGACGCGGTTTAGACGAGTTTGTCAAACGCGCCTGTCCTGATGCTTCCTGATCTCTCGAAGCCCTTCATGTTGTGTGCAATGCGAGTGGCTTCGCGATCAGCTGCGCCTTGATGCAGTTTGACGACGAAGGACGCGAGCGAGGGGTGAGTTACCAATCGCGTCAACTAAAGCAGGCGGAACGGAATTATATAAGGAGCTGCTTGCCATACGCTACGCACTCATCAAGTTCCGCGTGTATCTCCTGGGTGAGAAAACCTTCGCGATCTACACAGATCACGCGTCGCTGAGGACAGTGACGAAGAGCCCTCACTTGTCCCAGCGCATGGCGCGCTGGCTGTCCCTGTTCTCCGAGTACAACTTTATCGTCCATTACAAACCGGGCAAGACAAACATCGCGATAACGCGTCGGCCAGACTACGTGCAGTCAGGTCGCCACGCGATTGGCGACGAGTGTGCTGTGTGTGTCGCCAAAGCAGTAGCTGCGATCGAGGTTGCCGCGACCAGTCCACTGCGCGACCTGATCCCGGCTGCGTACGGCTCGGATGCAGAGTGCGTCGAGATGTTGAAGTACCTGCGGGACCCGTCGAACACGGCGCGGCGCCGACTGTGTTTGCGTAGCCGCGCCCGTGTCGATCGCTAGGCCCTGGATGGCAACCTGCTGACATATTGCGTCGACCGCTCGGATCCTCCGCGCATCTGGACGACGATCTTCGTGCTCGTTTAATACATGCGTTTCACGACACCCCGAGTAGTGGCCACCTTGGACGCGAGAAAACGTTCGCGTCGCTTGTCTCGCGACTTCTACTGGCCGCATATGTACAAGTGCGTGCGGAAGTGGATACACTCGTGTGAAGCGTGCCAGCGTGTGAAGCCGTCTCCGTCGAAGCAAGCGCCCCTTTGACCACTCCCCGTCGCGACAGGGCCGTGGTCTTCGGTGAGTATGGACTTCGTCTTCAGGCTGCCTCGCGACGCTCAAGACCGCACTGGTGTTCTCGTCTTTGTTGACCGCTTTAGCAAGATGATGCATCTTGCTCCAGTTGCCGTCTCAGTCACCGCAGTGCAATCCGCGGCGATCTTCCTCGACATTGTGTATCGGCACCACGGTCTACCGAGTTCGACCGTCTCCGATCGGGATCCGAGATTCACCGCTGCCTTCTGGACAGAGCTCTTCAAGATGTTGGGGAGGCGGTTGAAGATGTCCACCGCATCACATCCAGAGACGGACGGCCAAATCGAACGCGAACAGGGTAGTCGAAGACGTGCTGAGGAGCTTCGCCACGTCTTTTAAGTCATGGAGCTCCTTCTTACCCATGGTCGAGTTCGCTATCAACAACGCCGAGCACGCGTCGACGGGGCTCACGCCCTTCTACATCAACTACGGTCACCATCTCCGGGTGGCAGCGCTCCTTGGGTTGGAGCGCTCAATGGTTCTAGGCGAGGCCGGTGACGATAACATCTTGGACGAGAGTGGTGACTCAAACGACGCCGCGGTCGCTGGTACAATCGGTCGTGAGAGCACTCACGAGGCTGGTTCCACGCTGATGAACGGAGTCACCACTCGTCCTGGAGCCCGAGATGCAGCACGTACCATGCGCACGCGCGCCACCACAACAGCGGCACCAGAGAGATCAACCGAGACCACGGCGCGTGGGCTGCGTGCACGTGTCGCCGCGAGGGCGACGCCTTCAGAGATCACCACCTGGGCCAGTCGGACGTTGATCAACCCAAGCCAACGTTGTCGTGCTATCGAGTATCACGAGAAAACGGACGGGGCAGGCGTCGCCGCGCCACCTCCAGCAAACTTCGACCCAAATCCGGAGCCACATTCGGCTGACACTGCGGCGGTCAACGCGTTTCTTGACTGACGTCATTCTGTTGCGCAATATGTTCGGGACGCCATCACAATTGTAGTAGATCGACAGAAGGAGAATGCCGATCGTCGCGGTCGCAAGAACATGGAGCAATTTCCCGCGGGCGACGTGTGTTACTGTCCATGGCCGGTATCCAACCCATTTTAGTGACAAACGTGGGCGCGAACAAGCTCGCGCCACGATTTATTGGGCCTTTCAAGATACTAAAGGTATTAGGTGATGCCTACACGCTACTGCTACCTACTGTTCTGCGACTCCATCCGACCTTCTACGCCGGTCGCCTCCGACGTTATCACCCCGTTGTCACTCCTAACGTATCTGATACTCCCACGGTGCTGCCTCCCGCCAGTCTTGACGTCCCGCTCCTCGCGCGGAGGCTCCTGCACCACATCCAGCTCGCGACGCAAATCCGCCATCTCACGCTCCAGCCGCGTCAACCGCTCCGCTGCGCACTGTCGACCCCGCGCCGCCTCCGCCTCCACCCACCAACCCTGTGCCGCGTTTCCAGCGCGATAGTCCGGCACCCCTTGTCGATCGTGCTGGCCGTACTCGCCACATTGTCGAGTCGATCTTGGGGGCACGATGATCATCGTGCCGTCCTCCAGCACGCGCGTACGGGTCGCGGTCGCGTTGCCCGCGACGGTCCAATCCCACCTCACTGTCAGTATCTCGTGCGGTGGCTTAGCCCCATGCCTGATAGTTGGGAGCCTCGCGCGGTGCTGCTCGAGGACGTTCCAGATTGCGTTGCGGCATACGAGGCGGTGGTTTTAACGGCGGCAGGCCTTCCGGATGACGCGACCGTCCGCCGTGCCTAGCTTGGCCCTCGGCGTTACGATACTGGTCCACAGCATGTTCTTCGTCCTCCGCGGTCGGGTAGTCCTCAAGCATCTGCCTCCCCTCGTCTTCGTTGGGTTCTCTGCGCCCGCTGTCGCGACACCAGACACAGCCCCTGACGTAGTGCATATAGCAGCAGTCCCGGTCGGCGTCGTACGCGATGTCATGAATCCGCTTCGCCAGCACGCTCACAGACCGCGCTCGATGCTCTGCTTCGCGCCTCTGCGCTTAATGGCCACGTAGATGTTGGTGGCCGGACCGGTGTCCATACCATAGCAGGCTGCTATTTGCATCCTCGTTCACCTCCTGAACGTGTTTGTACGTAAACGTCACCGTGACAGTAGGCTTCACGATCCTGGTTCTTATTAGGATGGTGTCATCATAGTCCTGGCGCCTGTTGGATATCGAGGTGTTCTTCTTTACGATCGCGGTCTGGAGAGAGATGCACGCATGGGTCTTCGACTAAGACTCTTGGTCTCGTTGAAAGTGTGAGATGGCAAGTTTTCGAACTATCGTACGTAATATTGTTCGGAGGTTGGTATGAAATAATGCAGGTGGAGATTCGCTGGAGATTGGAAGTGGAGCAATGCAATTTTGAGGAGTACCCACAATAGTTTAACCAATACGAGAGGACTGTTTATATGTGGTGTGGGTCACTGGAGCGTGACATTTGACACTATGGAAAAAGAACTTGCAGGGGCCTTCGAAAATATACACTTCCTCTGTGCAGGATATTCGGATGGATATCAGGTTTTCCGGACGGCAAGTGACGCGCCTAAATTGATTGATTGACTAGAGAAAGATAGTTCTAGGAAAGTTCAAGATAGTTCGAGCGCGGAACAGTAGTTGTAGCATTTGTGCAATTCCTCGCTCGAAGGCAAGTAAAACTTCTCACTCGAAACGGCATGGCTCTAACTTCTGTTACGGTCGGATTGCTAGCGTTCCTAGGCCCTCCACAGGTGCCAACGCCGTCTCGCTTCTGCTACGTGCGGGTCATCACTATCGATGGGACCCAAGTGTCGGTCGTGGTCCTGGACCCGGAGGGTGAAGATGAGGAGGAGCTGGATCCTGTTGCTGTCGGGGTTGTCAAACGGCGCTTGGTTGGGGCCGACGAAAAAGGGCTGTGGCCAGGAACGTTTGTGGGGGGGGGTCCTATTACTTTCATCCAGACCTATGGCCTGGATATGGATTCTTGGGCTTATGGAGTAGTCACAGACTACACTATGGCCGAAAGTGAAGCATTTTTACATGTACGATGCGCTGACGGAGCACGTCGACTCGCCATGCGACAACCTCCTAACGTAGTGCAGGTTGTCTGGATTGATTACGTGCTTCAAACAGAGCGAGGTACCCGTGTAGCTGCGCTCTGCGCAGAAGCATTACCGGACAAGTTGGAGGAAGTGCGTGCCTTAGTGGTCAAAAGTCGTTCGGGAGTCTCTGCGAAAGTCGAAAGGTTATTATCCGTACCGTTTGACCCTTCGGCACTGGTTCTGATGACACGACCTGATAATCTTGCAATCGTCTCCGTTCCACGGCAACATGTACTCGATTGTGTTCTAAAACGGAAAAAGCAAAAAGGGAGGCAGCATGTTTATACCTCCACCAGAAACGATGGCGACGAGAACCAGCAAACGGAAAGCTTCGGCGAATGCTAGCAAAGGTAGCCGTCCAACCTCCCGCCACAAATATTCGGAAGACTTGTCAGGCAACGAGTCAGACAACGACTTACTTCCTGTGGGGGACGTGGGGGACGTGGGTGACAAGCATGACAAGCTTGAAGTACAACGACAAAATTGCATGCTAGTGGACGCGTCCGCTGCGTCTTCATTTCAATCCACACGCGTGGATGGTGTGAACGAGGAAACTCGACAAACCAAGGCTACAACGTATCATCCAACATCGATTGAAAAACAAATTCACGACAAGATTGGACACCTCGACCATCAAGGTAAGGATCCTCAGTCTATTCTAGAATATGAACAGCAGGCTCGTGGCTCTCTGCTTCTCACGGCACCCCCAGTTGTGCGAGGTGCCTACGACTTTGGGTTCAAGATTCGTGGGTTGTCTGTGATGCACTTTGTGAGTGTAGCGCGGATAGCGGCGATGGACAATGACGATCCTGGGATGAACATGACTGACTTTTCACTAAAAAAATTGTATCAAGCCAGCGAGAAACTCACCACCTTACGACAAGCTCAAGGACGCGCTTGAGAACCTCCGGCAGTTCGACTCCACGTTTTATACCGAAGAAACGGTCGCAGTCTTGCGGGCTGCGCAGCGCTTTATCGAGTCATACGGCAGAGGTTGTACGACTGACCGTGACACGACCAGACGGCTGGTCTTTTGGCTCAACACTAAGCTATGCCAATTTTGCGGTGTGGTTTTCGCAGAAGGATTAGATGAAGCGGTTCGCATTCAAGCTGAGTTTTCTCATCAAGACGCCCTTCTGGCGGAGCTGATTCGTGATCAACATGAAGCACAGATAGCGACGATGAAAGCGCAGCTGGAGTCGAAGAGCAGCAGCGGAAATTCGGCTCACACGAATGGGCGTAACGTACGTTCGGCAAAGCAATCAGGAACACCCAAGTCTGTGCTGAGCAGCCTTCCGAAGCAGGGCAAGCTCACGCTCTGCATGAAGTATGTGTCAAAAGAAGGGTGCAATGGCGGAGAGTCTCCAAACAAGTGCTTTTCGACCAAACGTGCCCATTTCCGTCCAAAGAAGCTCGCTGCCGAAGTGAAGGAGCACATCGAGAATCGGTTTGGTGGTTTGGCTCACGAATTCGCCGATCTCTGAAGTGCATGGGTCTCAGTTCCACGTCAAGTTCCCACTCGAGTACCTCTGGACACTGGCCAAACGACAGCAGCTGCAGTAGGAACTGATTCAACTATTTCGTTTACAGATTTCCGGTTGTCGATGACTGCAAAACACGAGAAA